TCATCCTCCTCCTCCTCCTCGCTCTCGTCGGAATCTAGCGACTTCTTATCCTTTTTGGGCTCTGCGGACGCCCCATCGCCTCCCTCCTGCTCTGCCTCCTCTTCCTCCTGTGGACGTTAAAACGCATTACTGTGGTTGGAAGGACCGTGTGGAAATCACTGATGGACCGTCGAGGGCTGGAGACAGACAAACGCCGGCGGCTAAAGGGAAAAAAACAAACGAGGCTCGGCCTCAAATGAGGGCTGGCCCAAGACGTTTTGGTTCCTTCAGAGACAGTCTGTGTCTATTGACTCTTGCAGAATGTGGCCGAACAGTCCTAACCTGGGCTGCAGGCCCCAGCCCACCCTGCCCTCCAAGGTTTTCTCAACACCCGGAAAGGCTTCTCTCTCTCTTTCTCTCTGGTAACCCATCACCACCGCCTGACCTTCGCAAGGAATTGCCCATTGAGAGAGTCACGGCTCCCAACTTCCCTTCCAAGTTCTGAGGCCTTGGCTCTGTGTCTCCCGCTGCCCGGCGCCTGGTCACCATGGGCACCATTCACTATCTTGTGCACCCCTGGAGGAACAGCTGCTTACCGATTGCCTGCCTTCCCCCGGCGCGCCTTTTTAAATAGTGTGTCTAAGACGGTGGAGGTCTGTGTGGTACAGAGAACCACTACCAGCATCGAAAGTTATAAAGGACTTATTAAAAAGACCACGGCCACACATCCTGGAAAATCTACAGCAGTGATGGCGAACCTTTTAGAGACCGAGTGCCCAAACTGCGACCCAAAACCCACTTATTGATCGCAAAGTGCCAACATGGCAATTTAACCTGAATACTGAGGTTTTACTTTAGAAAAACCGCTCATACATTAACTTAAGATGATCAAACAAAGTAAGGAAAGCAATCCCAAATGCTTTCATTTACTTAAAATTATTTGGCAGAGAATTTGACACTTTAATGATGGTCTGGGTCTGGCTGGGGCGATAGCATGCGTGCCCACAGAGAGGGCTCTGAGTGCCACCTCTGGCACCCGTGCCACAGGTTCGCCACCACTGATCTACAGCAACTAATAAACTCTGGCCGTGGAAGCCTTCGACAACATACTTATTAAAAAGATAACGTTCATAAGCATACTCTTAGCACAGCATCAGACTGAGCAAGGGATACAAAAGAAATGGGTGAAACACAAATCCACTGCCCCTCTCTCTATACGTGCACTATCAGATATCAAAATACAGGACAGGCTCCTTAGCTTAGGAAGTTACAGATCTCTACAGGATCTCCATTACCTTGTGACTTCCTTCAGCTCTTCGTGCCAGCACATGGCTAATGGCCGCCTCCTCCAGACCTCAGTTAAGAGTTCGGTCTGCTCTGATGGACTCTGCACAAAAGAGACCTCCTTCCTTGCTTCCTGGAGTTTTATCATCTCTCTTTTCCCCACCCACTGACCAGGTCAGGCTGGGTCAAAGAAGCTTTTCCTGGACTCTCCAGAAGTTTCTCCCTGAAGTCCTTCTAGTCTTCAGTACCTCCAAATCTCGGTTTCCTGCTTGGGGGGGGGGGGGCGTGCTATCTAGACCTATTAGTATTTGTATGAAGGTGGGCTGAGGGAACTCAGGAAAGCAACTGAACTGACATCCCCCCTTCCTGCCTGTTCTCTGCCCAGAGAGAAGGAAAAAAACCAACTTTTAAAACCCAGGGCGAAGGTTTCGCTCATTTCAAGCCTCCAAAGAAAAAACGCATTTCTTCACATGCAAGAATTAGATACGAATGATGCAACGGGAAATGCCGACAGGATAGATAAAGCTAACAAAAATAGATTTATGCTCCCCCCTCCCCCCCCAGAGGGGAGATGGAGCAGTATGAAAAGCAACGCTGCACGCCCAGGGCAGAGGCAGGGTTTGGGCTGGGCGCTTCATACCTAAGACGATAAGAAGAGCCGTGCTGGGTTAGACCAAAGGCTCGTCCTAGTCCAGCATCCTGTCTCACCCAGTGGCCAATCGGCTCCCTCTAAGAAGCCCACAAGCAGGAAGTCTGCAACGGCATCATCCTTCCTGTACTCCCCAGCTATCGATTTAAAGAGACATACACCTCCTACTACTCTGCAGGTTAGCTTTTGGACTGGGTGGGTCAAACAAAGCAGCTCTCAGCAGAAGATTAAAAAAAAATAATAATCATTGAACAAGAGAACAATAAATTAGCGAGAATAACAGATAGGATTCTGCAGATCTACCATGTTCGTGTATTCCTCTTTACTCTGGTGCATAGGAAAAAGAAGAATAGGAGGAGATTGGATTTATACCCCGCCCGTCACTACGCAAAGGTGTCTCAGAGCGGCTTACAAACTCCTTCCCCTTCCCCTCCCCACAACAGACACCCTGGGAGGCAGGCGGGGCTGAGAGAGCTCTTAACAGAAACGGCTCTTTTTCAAGGACAGCTCTTGTCGGAACTACGGCTTGCCCAAGGTCATCCAGCCAGGTGCAAGTGGAGGAGGAGTGGGGAATCAAACCCGGTTCTCCCAGACTAGAGTCCGCGCACTTAGCCACTGATGCCCCGCCTCCCTCCCCAGTGAAGACCCAAAGTGGACGACACAATTCTCCACTCCTCCCTTTTATCTTCCCAGCATCCCGGTGAGGTCGGTGAGCCCGAGTGTGCATGATTGGCTCAAGGTCGCCCAGCGAGCTGCCGTGGCACGAGCGGGGATTCGCACCCGATGCTAGTCCGACACTCTCAACCACTGCGCCGCACTGTTTCTCTCGAGCCAACCTCTAGCATGGGGAGGGGAGGACCGTGCAGCAGAGTTTCCACAGAGAAGTCGAGCACGCAGGAAGGCCCATCGGGGAGAAGGCAGATGAGGGGATCCCCCATGCCTCCTCCCCGCTAGCTCGAGGGGGGACGCAAGATCCCGGAGGGGGCTTACTTTGGCCTTCTGCTTCTCGGCTTGGAGCTGGGCGTCGATCTCCTCGGGGCTGGTGTACTGCCTCGCTCGGCCCTTGTGGCCTCCTTTTCTCCCTGCAAAGGAAAGGAGCTGGTTTAGCAAAGGAGCGTCTCCGGCCCTCACTGCCCCTGCCCTCACTTGCCCTCACTTGCAGCCACCCAGAGAACGCCCACTTCTGTCACCGTATTCACTTCGGCGTCAACGTCAGCGGGAGGATGGAAGCAGCTGGCAGATTCTAACATACATGTATGTTTTTAGTCGTTGTAGATTTTCCGGGCTGTGTGGCCGTGGTCTTGGCCTTGTAGGACCTGACGTTTCGACGGCAGCTGTGACTGGCATCCCCAGAGGTATAACATGCCTCTGACGATGCCAGCCGCAGCTGCTGGCGAAACGTCAGGTCCTACAAGGCCAAGACCACGGCCACACAGCCTGGAAAATCTACAACAGCTAATGTACTCTGGCCGTGAAAGCCTTCCATAATTTCTTTCTTTCTTTCTTCCTTCTTTCCTTCCTTTCTGCCGCCTTCTTTCTTTCTTTCTTTCTTTCTTTCTTTCTTTCTTTCTTCTTTCCTTCCTTTCTGCCGCCCTGTCCTGCAAGCGGGGCTCAGGGCGGCTTACGACAAAGCAGAATAAAAATAATTTAATTTGAAACCCACGTTGAACATTGCCCCAAAACATGTCAATAGATAAAACAAACATTCTGGGATGGTGGCAAAAAGAAATTCGGCACCCCAGCCCCCTGCGGGGAGGGGTACAAGTGAAGGGGGGGGGAATATATGAGAGGGCCAGGTGTCGTAATGTTCCGGCGCTGTCTTCAACCAAACACCTGGTGGGAAAAACCCTGGCCCTCGTAGAGGACAGCCGGATCTATCTCGGGCCGGGAACCACCTGGAGGTTTGTTTCCTGAGCGTAATGCTCTTCCGGGGGCACACTGAGAGAGGCGGTCCTGAAGGTACGTAGGCCCCTGACGGTCAAGACCAACGCTCCCTCTAAGCTGTGGAGTCTTGTGAGCAGAAATTCTACTTTGGGAGCTGCTGGCATGAAAGCTGCAAGCGAGCCATGTGGCGACTGCATGGATTAGTTGGCTCTGGAGTCCTCCTTCCTGAGCGAAGGCAGAAATGGGTGAGCAGGAGGCTAAAAAGCTGTGAGCTCACACTCACTCAGCTTAGAGGGAATATTGGTCAAGACATGTCGATCTGGCACACAATCCAAAACGCAAGATGTCATGGACAATGTTCCCTCTAAGCTGTGGAGTCTCGTAAGCAAAAATTCTACTTTGTGAGCTACTGGCATTAAAGTTGTGAGCAGGCGATTTGGCTACTGCATACATTAGTTTGCTCTGGAGCGAGCCTTCCTGAGCTAAGACAAAAACGTGTGAGCCGGAGGCTAAAAAACTGTGAGCTAGCTCACACTAAAAACTCAGCTTAGAGGGAAGAGATGTCATGGAGACTGTATGAGCTTTGGCCAGAGCATGGAATGTGTGCTTGCGGAATAATTGCGAGAATGGACCTTGACGGGAGTCTGGAGACGTGCCCCGAACGGCGATCCCCCACCCTGTGGGGAAGTGTGTGGGGTACAAAAGCTCCAGCCCCTAAGGCAGAGAGACGGGGGCCTACGTCTGATTCTCAAGCTCCAGCGCTTGGGCGACCTGGCTGGATCTAACCACTACCCGGCTGAGATCCAAAACGAGCCTCTGTTTCCACGGCGCCCCGTTTGAGACTGCGGAGGGAAATCTAAGGTGCCGTGGCTGATGTGCCCACGTGCTCACGGCCTTACTATGCACCACTCAGCCAGTGTGTCAGTCTCTGCCTCCCCGTGCACGCTCCTGCCTGACTCACTCTCTGGGCCGGCGCCAGAGTGCAAATTCTGCAGCTGCTCGTAACACTCAGGCGCCCACGTGGGATATCACAGGAACGCACTATGAGAGCATCGCTCAAGATCCTCCGCTATGGGCGGGGACCACGGTCGACCCTTGTCCTGGCCTCTACCGAGAAAACGCACACACCAAAACGCTAGTTTAGGTCTAGCGTGAGTCAGCCAGTTTGTATCTGGACTCCAGATACAATGAACATAAGACATACAAGACAGTATAACGTAGGCTGAGTCATCGAGTAAAACAGATATTTATGAGAGTACAATAAGTATATTGTAGAACCAGCATGTCAGACTGGACAACGGATGTGAATATACTGAATATCGACTGCTGAGAATGGCAGAAATACATTCACGGCATTATAATCTGTGATCGTTTTCAGTTATTTGTCATTTAGATCCCGCATTTCTCCAGTTTGGTGTCGTGGTTAGGAGAGCGGACTCTAATCTGGGAGAACCGGGTTTGATTTCCCCACTCCTCCACGTGCAGCTGCTGGTGTGGCCTTGGGTCAGCCCCAAGTTCTCTCAGAGCTGTTCTCTCACGAGCAGTCCTCGAGAGAGCTCTCTCGGCCCCACCTACCTCACAGGGTGTCTGTTGTGCAGAGGGGAAAGGAAAGGAGATTGTGAGCCGCTCTGAAGGGCGGGGTATAAATTCAATCTCTTCCTCTTCTTCTTCCTCCCAATGGGATCCCAAAGCGGCTGACCTCATTCCTGCCGCCATGTTGAATATTTATTTATACTATCACATAGCTGATTGTTTAAGGCAGTCAATTGCTTTTACTTGGCCCCTTCTTAGATGGGTGTTTTGCTTTTCTAGAACACAATTGTTTCCGTATATTGTTGGATTTCTGGGAGCAGGTCAGAGGCTCCTACATGTGTGGGGTGTGGGGGGAGGATTGAGAAAAAAAACTAGCTCTCGCCTGCTGTCTAAAGTGATACATGCAGTCCAGAAATGGTTAAAACTACCTCTGTAAGGAGGAAGAAGAAGAGACTGGATTTATACCCCACCCTCCACTACCCGAAGGAGTCTCAGAGCAGCTTACAATCTCCTTTCTCTTCCCCTCCCCACAACAGACTACCTGTCAGGTAGGTGGGGCTGAGAGCTCTGAGAGAACTGTCCGTGAGAGAACAGCTCTGAGAGAACTTGTGACTGACCCAAGGCCACACTAGCAGCTTGCCTGTGGCGGCGTGGGGAATCAAACCCGGTTCCCCCAGATCAGAGTCCATGCTCCTAACCACTACACCAAACTGCATCTGAAACACAAACTGTAGCACTAGCGACTTTCAGATCTATCCACACCTCAAGCCAAGCCTGGGTTTTGGCCACCATGTGACACAGAGTGTTGGACTGGATGGGCCATTGGCCAGAGCCAACATGGCTCCTTCTTATGCCCTTGGGCCATTCAACCTAAGGTGCCTGTGCATCTTAGGCAAAAGAGTTAATTAGTTCTAGGTTTCCCAGACAGAGACCACTTGGGGCAAAAGATAATCAGTTGGTATCAAGCTCTTCCATTTCCACATCTGTGCTTTAACACAGGGCAGAAGCGGGCGATCCGCATATGGACCCGGAAGCTATTTGGGGAGAGTCGTGGAGGCTGGCTAGAACTACCAAATTCCAGATCTTGTTGGAGAGGACTGCGTTTGTACCCCCCCTAGCAAAGGCAGATCGCAGCGCCATCTGGCACACATTCTAAGCCAAACTGTGTTGTGTTCACCGTTGCTACTGTATTGTAGAGATGGCAGAAATTCTGAGTGGCAAATGGAACTCCTTAAGAACAGAGATTTTACACGCAACAGCTCAGTGCTCCAACGTATGTTTAATACAACCTTGTCAAGTCTGTGGGTTTTTAAAGTTTGTGTGTGTGTGTGTGAAAGAGGAGAGAGAGGGAGAGAGAAGATCAGATTCATACCCCGCCCTTCACTCGGGGTCTCAGAGCGGCTCACAAACTCCTTTCCCTTCCCCTCCCCACAACAGACACCCCCTGTGAGGCAGGTGGGGCTGAGAGAGCTCTGACAGAAACTGCTCTTTTTCAAGAACAGCTCTGACAGAACTATGGCTTGCCCAAGGTCATCCAGCAGGTGCAAGTGGAGGAGTGGGGAATCAAACCCGGTTCTCCCAGATTAGAGTCCACGCACTTAACCACCAC